TCCTGGACACTGTCTCACAGTAGTGATGATTCACTTGTTTACTGTAAAATAATATGGCTTTGGATAACTCAGGATAAGCATGGACACCAACAGAGTTTTATTTTAACACACTCCAGGGTGATGGCCAATCACAAGTCATGCTAGACCTTCCCTCACACTAGTCACATCCTCTTAGATTATGCATGGATGAGCCTGCTGTAAGTTGGGTGCCCTACACTGTTGGCTTGTTTGGTCCTGGCTGTGGTCATTAAGAAGATACAGCCAAAAAAAAACAGGGTAAAAGCCTCCTTTTAGCCTCATTACCTGAATAATTATTTAAGTCAAAGCCAAGAGCATAGAGAGCTGGATAAATGTACATTTCCTGCATTCTGTTTTCTCTCTCGAGCAGCCAACTCAAAGAGCATCCCACTATGTTGTTTGGTATGGCTCTGGGAGAACTCACTGTGAGTGGCTACATTTTACAATGGCCAGAAATCCTTCAAATCTATCACAAGTTATATTATTTTCAATATATGGACTACATCCCTTCCCCCCCCATCTCATTTTTTCCTCTTGCCCAAGGGGTCCCTGTGGCAAATTTTTCAACAATGACACTCCACTGTGTAAAATATATATGATAAACAATACTATTGGGTGTGTGAAATCACTCTTTAAATCACTCTATAAATATAGCAATCCTTTGTTATCATACAGAAAAAATCTTACCACTTCATTAGGAGCATCAGTTGCCCCTAGAATTCTTTAAGCTTCAAGTCCACAATCAGACTCCTGGGTTGACTCCTCATTAAAGAATTAGTTTGGTCAAGCCTCATCACATTAAATTTTTATGAGAATAAACAAATCACATGTGATTTAAGAATTATATAAAGGATGGACAGGAAAGACTTCTATTTGTAATAAAAAAAAAAAAAAAAAAAAAAAAAAAAAAAAAAAAAAAAAAATATATATATATATATATATATATATATATATATATATATATATATAAACATAATATATATAATGTATATATATGTATCTATCTATATACATTTTTTTTTTATTTTTTTTACTACAAACATTAGGTCTTTCTAGTCCATCTTTTATATAATTCTTAAATCATATGTAATTTGCTTATTCTCATAAAAAAAATTATTATATATATATTTGTGCATCATATATTTGTTTTTATATATGTCTATATGATATGTATATACATATCATATAGACAGGGACCAGGGACCAAAACGAGGAGGACATCACAGAACGAGCAGCCACAGAGATGCACCAAGGTTGGGTCACCCTTGAAGAAAGTCTAGATCGCCTCGAGGACGAGCTGTGGGTAGGTGGCAGAGTGGTGTGACATTCAAGGAACACCTGCCGCTGACCTGACCCCCAGCTGCAGAGATGTCAGCTTGGAGGCCTGGAAGCCCGCCACAGGTGGCCACACCCCTAGGCAGGGCAAAGGGAGGAATGACCAGTATCATGACCCCCCCCCCCCCTGCATACCCACGCTGCTGTGGCTCCGCCCCTGCTTCTGGTGGCCGCCGCTACTGCCCGCTGGCCTGAGCTCGCCAGTGACCTTAGGCGACCTCGCGCTAAACCCCAGACTTGTCTCGTGTTTAGCCACCCGTGTGCTGAACTAAGCCACTCAAGATTTTACTATCCTGTCGCCAATGTAAAGACGTTCAATCTTAACCTTTTACAATATATATATATATATATATATCTCTCTCTCTCTCTCTCTCTCTCTCTCTCTCTCTCTCTCTCTCTCTCTCTCTCTCTCTCTCTCTCTCTCTCTCTCTCTCTCTCTCTCTCTCTCTCTCTCTCTCTCTCTCTCTCTCTCTCTCTCTCTCTCTCTCTCTCTCTCTCTCTCTCTCTCTCTCTCTCTCTCTCTCTCTCTCTCTCTCTCTCTCTCTCTCTCTCTCTCTCTCTCTCTCTCTCTCTCTCTCTCTCTCTCTCTCTCTCTCTCTCTCTCTCTCTCTCTCTCTCTCTCTCTCTCTCTCTCTCTCTCTCTCTCTCTCTCTCTCTCTCTCTCTCTCTCTCTCTCTCTCTCTCTCTCTCTCTCTCTCTCTCTCTCTCTCTCTCTCTCTCTCTCTCTCTCTCTCTCTCTCTCTCTCTCTCTCTCTCTCTCTCTCTCTCTCTCTCTCTCTCTCTCTCTCTCTCTCTCTCTCTCTCTCTCTCTCTCTCTCTCTCTCTCTCTCTCTCTCTCTCTCTCTCTCTCTCTCTCTCTCTCTCTCTCTCTCTCTCTCTCTCTCTCTCTCTCTCTCTCTCTCTCTCTCTCTCTCTCTCTCTCTCTCTCTCTCTCTCTCTCTCTCTCTCTCTCTCTCTCTCTCTCTCTCTCTCTCTCTCTCTCTCTCTCTCTCTCTCTCTCTCTCTCTCTCTCTCTCTCTCTCTCTCTCTCTCTCTCTCTCTCTCTCTCTCTCTCTCTCTCTCTCTCTCTCTCTCTCTCTCTCTCTCTCTCTCTCTCTCTCTCTCTCTCTCTCTCTCTCTCTCTCTCTCTCTCTCTCTCTCTCTCTCT